TTGTTGCTCCGGCGGGAGTGTATGATCGCATCCTGTCTTAATGTACACGCGCCGCACTTGATCAGCTCTCTCTCCTTTGAATCGAGCATCTAGTATTGTCTTAACTGGTACTGCTGGCCGACGCAACAACGAACCTAAAGCTGCATCCTGATTAAACCCAAATTTCTGTTTCATGCAATTGTTTATTAAATAATGCAGTAAAAAAATATAAATTTAATTTATCAAATCCAGACTGCTTTTTAAATTAGCCGAGAATCGTTTTAACCACGTTGTCTTGTAAAGCAAAAATTGCTAGAGTCCGAAGATCGTAACTATTTGCTTTAATGATGCGGGTTAAAAAAGAGTTGGAACTAAAAAATTAATTTGTGTTATTTTATTATTTCAGATTTGTTGGATTTTTTTTTCTTATTTTTGGATTTATCTCTCATTTGGTGGGGCCGGCGGTAACGTCTTTTTTTTAAGTAAATTTTTTAAGCAAAAAAATATTTTCATAAAAGACAATAAAAGAATGCTTAATTACTATTTTACAAAAATGAATGCTTAACTACATTTTACATGTTCTAGATGCATTTAAAAATGTTCTAGATTGCATTATATATATAATATCATCTCATTAAAGAAGCGGGGAGAATCACACTTTGCATCAGGCACCCTAAAAGATTTAAGATTCTCATTTTATATTTTTAAAAATTAAAATTTTCATATTACACTCTTAATATATATAAAAAATATTACAATGTGAAAAATTTTGTTATTTTATTTCGTTAATGTCAATAGGGTATTTTTTGACGAAAAAAATAAAACAAAAGAATTATATTACAATACTTTTAATATATTGAGTATAGAATGTGAAAAAATTTATCTTTAAAGATACAAAGTAATAATTTTTAAATCTTCCAGTGTCAAGTACAATACACCCAAGAAGTGAGTATTACCAAAAAAAAAAAATTTAGTTAAAAAATTCCTTAAAAAACACAAAAATACTTTCAAAAAACATTACAAACGCCACGTAGTCATTACTTATTCCCGTCCTGTGATCTTGGCACATTGCAACTGATATTTTTCTTGTGATTTCAAATTTGTGAGCAATGTTCTTCTTCAAAAGTTTAAGAGATGTTTTGTTTTTTTTGTCATTGTACATCTTAGAAATGTAATAACTTATAATTTAATGAGTAGTTCACGGTAATAAAAATAAATTATAAATTCAGACGTCTTCAATTCAAATTTTGGCAACTTTTGAATTAGGTCATAACAAATTTATCTCTCATTAATACCCTAATTCCGGCATGAATGACTAGATAGTCTACTTTTGACCGAACTAGAGAGAGAATTAGTTGAAGTGTATGTAATTGACTCAGATAACCTTAACCATTTAACCAAAAAAAAGAGTAATGATATAGAGACCTAATCTGAAAACCTAATAATGTGACTTTAATGTAATTATTAGATTAGTTGTGAGTTATAATATTAGATGAATCAAGTTATCAATCTAATAGCTGTATTGAAATAAGTCTTCATGTCCCTAAATTAAGTCTAAATAACATTTTTCAAAAAAAATGTAATAACTTGTTACCTCTCGATAAATGCCGACGTGATTCGTTTGGCACTCAGGTTTCTGTGTTGCCCCAGTCCTGTTTGGAGCCAAACCAGTTGCGAATGGTGGTGCTCCCTGTTTCACAACACTTTTACCAAAGTTAACAGCCCAATCACAAATATTTGCACAAGACAAAAAAATTCTATTGCATATCGAAAGCTCTATTAATTTGAACAAAATAAAAAATATATTTTTTTTCTCTTACAACACCCGAGTAATTTTATACAAAAAAAAATAAAAATCATAACTATAACCATATCAGAATTTAATCTTGTCTGTAGTTAATTTTTGACAAACAACCCAAAATAAAAAACGGTATATTTTTATATTCCGATTAGCCTGTTGCATTGGGCTCTATAGGACATGAAAAAGTAGCTTTTTTTTCATTAGTCTTACCCGCACAGATGAAAAATATGGAGGCTTTTCTTTTCTAGCCCATCGTATGCATTTGCTTATCAGCAAGGATGCAGTCTAAACTTTTAAATGCAAGAGATAGTGCATTGTATAGATTACAGAAGTTAATTGTATAGTCGAAGAAACTTCTCTGACCGTACATGAATTGGAAATGATGCTTAGCAATGGTTCAGAAAAAAAAAAACGTGTCTTACATCTTTTAAGTCTTGTTCTGTCATGAACCCATGTTTCAACATTGTTGCTGCTACATATACAGCAACCTTAATTTTGTCACTGAATCGGTGACACGCGTCTGTAACGCTTAGACCTCCTGCACTGTGTCCAACTAATATGACCTGAAATCACACCCAATTAAATTAAAAAAAAAAAAGATCAATGAAAAAAAGTCAACCAATAATCAAAACTTAGGTTCAAGGCGAGAGAGAGAGAGAGAGAGAGAGAGAGAGAGAGAGAGAGAGAGAGAGAGAGAGAGAGAGAGAAGTGACCTTGTCATTATTGGACAAACTGGCGAAAAAATCAATGAGGGGCTTGTTATAAGCATTGAAACTATGTATTTTAGCAGGATCGGATGGATCAACACCAGCACCTTTGAGATCCAGACATGTCGCTCTGTAGTTAAATGCCTCAAGTAGGGCCTTGATCTTATACCAGCCCCATGCTGCACCAGTATAGCCATGAACTAGGACAAAGTGTGGGGTTGAACTTGAACGAGTCTTATTCTCTACTTTTCCCTCATTGCAAAGGAGGAGAGAGAAAACCAAAACTAACAACAGAAGAAAAATGAAAACTCTTCTTGGAGACATCCTTAGAGAGCTTCAACTTCACTTGGTTATTCTCTTATGAGAGGTCCGAGTGTTCATTCTTATAAGATTTGATGTGTTTCACAATCGGCATTCTTAAGATGTGGGATGTCATCATCAAAGCCATGCTATGAATGATGAATTGTAAGGTTAGTGTGGGACAAAGGTCAAACCTCCAGTGGGGCGCCACCCACTCCAAACCACATTTTCCATCTCCTTATCTACACTTCTATGGGGGTCTATGAATCCATCTCACATATGTCTTACTGTGGGGCTGGCGTGGACCACATAGCAGGAGCAGGAGGCTTCTAGTACCTCAAGGCGTCGCCCACTACAGCAGTCTCCAAGCAGCAGCCTTCAGGCGTCGTCCAAAGCGCCTACCCAGCTTCCTGCGTCGCCCAGGGTGCTGCCCAGCCTCCTAGCATCGTCCAAGGTGCCTGTCCAATCTCTCTTGGCATTGCCAATAGTGCCCAAGGCGCTGCCCAGCTAGTTGCCCCGCCTCCGGTGTCACTTGCACTTAGCGCCACCACGCCCCTCGTCCTGGCGTCGTCTCTGCCCGGCACCCAGCTTGGTTCGAGATCCAGAGTTCTAGCAAAACTTGACTTCGAGTATCAAGCGAATATTGATAAACAAAGCCTCTAGCGAGCATATTCTTTCTTACAAGCTAAGACTCAACGTTTTAGTATGATTCTACCTTGAACATTTAGAAGATTGGTGATGAGATTTATCCTATCACAACCTAGATTTCAATTCTACTTAGAACACTGTTTCCTATATTGCTATAAATAAAGGTTATGGGTACGAGGTATGCAATTCAATCCTAGCCTATTCACCATACACTTTATCTTTGACTTGCTTACTTAAGTATTAGAGTCCCTTTGGCCGCCTCCGACTATCGGTTCACCTAGAAGTTCTCTTGTCTTGTAAGTTGCTCAAAGCTTACTCACCACCCTCTCCGTTTGTACGAGGTAGTTACTCTCTATGTGGATTTACTCCTGCATAATTGGCGCCATCTGTGGGAAACGATTAATTTTTCTACCAACCAAGAAGCCTTGAAACCATAACTAGCAAGAGAGCCCTCAATTCCAAAACTAGCCATTCATTACTTCCACTACCCCTGATCCACGAGGGTCCTGCTAACTATGACCTCCAGTTATTAGAGGAAGTGCTGCCTGGTGTTGGGCAGGACCAGTCAAGAGAAAATCCTCATTCTCATTGCAACCTACCCATTCTCCATGCAAAAGGTGGGTTAGTCACTGAGATTGATTATCATGAGGCAATCAAGAAGAAAACGGAGGAGCTAGAAGCTCTCAGGCGCTAGAGTGGCAAACAATTCACTAGCAAGGTCAGGTGGTCAACTCGTAAACATGATCGTCGTAACAATCACATTGAGAAAGCCTATTCCTCCCAACATAGGAGCCATTTTCGAGCAAGGAGCTATTCGACTCACAAATAGAATAGAAGTAGGTACTCATCTAGGAGAAATGTTACTAATTGTACCCTTAGTGACCTTTCTCCAAGGCATGGTCACCCTCATCATAGGGGCGAGGGCGAAACACATAGACAACGCCGTCATAGAGAGAAAAAGGGATGGCATGAGAGTCCTTCCCGATATCAAAGGAAAGACCGTTGGGACAACTATAGAGGATAAAAACGAAGGCGCTCTGAACAAGCTCATGATGTGGCCACCGGGCCGCAACATGACTATGCTCATGATGACCTCGTTTATTCAGCAAATGAGAGAACGAGGCAGACCCTCACAAGGATGACTATCACACTTTTCGTTTGGTCGATACAAGAATCCAAACCCCCACAGAAATTCAATCCTCTAACTTTCGAGTTGTATGATGGTCAGTCTAACCCCATGCTTCATATAAGAGCTTACACCAACAAGATGACTCTCTAGACAAGCTATGAGGCATTGTTGTACAAAATGTTCTACTCTAATTTGGAAAGTCGATGCTCAAGTGATTTTATGGGATGCTTGTGAACTCAATCTACTATTGGGAACAACTCGCTAAGGTGTTTGTCTCTCGATTCATAGCTAACAACTGAGAACCCATGACAATTGATACACTCTTGGCATTACGCCAAAAATAAGGAGAGACAAAACTACCACACCTCTTTCTTTTCTTTAAGGGCAATGCTATTGGGACCTAATTTTTTGACATAATTTACTGATTTAATTCATTGTGACTTTTAGATCGACTGTAGGCTCCATCAAACATTGAAAGTTTGTATTGATCTAATAATTACATTGAAACCACATTATTATGTCAACAAATTATGTCAAATTTTTAGATTCAAATAACAATATTCAAAAATAAAAAAGAGTATCTACAAATATAAATTGAACGATATAAGCCAAAAAAATTAACAAAAATTCTAAAATAATATAATTTATTGACATAATTTCTCTTTCCTCCTACAATTCTCCTATTCTTCCATCGTTACATAATGAGTGATCTTTCAAAAGACAACACTACCACACCTTTCCACTCCCAGCTGGCACACTACTCACTATTTTATTTTCTCAGCACTTGTCACAATTAGGGAAGAAACATTAGTAAATGTGACAGCCGCATGGTGATCCATCAAATTTGCTAAAAAATTAATTTCCCTTAACTTGCACACTTGTCCTTTCCACATTCCACTGCGGTGTGAGCAAGGGAATATTTTTCATTCCCATCTCATTTACCATTCTCATCCTATTATATATTCGTTTTAATGATTAGTCAACCCAAAATTTACAATCACCACCTACGTCACTAAACCCACTAAATCTGCACCACCCATATCCACTGTTGTCACTACCAAGTTGAGGATAGCGTAACAAGGAAGCAAATTTTGTATGTTATTGATTTTTAAATAGGAAAGCCTTTAAGCAAAATATGATGAATGAACTAAAACGGTTAGAATTTTATACTACGGGTCATGTGGCTGAATATAGGAGCAATTGAGGTTGTGAAGGAGTTTTGAAGACTATGATTGATTCATCAATTTGATACTAACTTATTATCTGTTGGTTTAGACAATCGTGATTTTAAATTTTTTTACAAAAATTTGAGAATAGTATTTAAGGTTAGGACGCTAGGGTTTCTAATGGAGGGTAGGATAGAGTTAGAAAACATATGCTTAATCACGTGTTCGGATGAACAAACACAAAATTAATTTAAAGAGGCGTGTAAGTAGAAATGGATTAATTTCACACACTATTTTTTTTTTTATATATATACGTATATATAACTAAGGTGTGTTGATCTAAACAAACTATTTTTTTGAATTCAATGGTTGATTATCGTGATTTGAACTAGACTAAAACGTGACCCTTAAAAAGAAAAAATTGTAAAGAAGATAATCAACATGGGAAAAAAAAAACCTATGAGAGGCGGAATACAATGGTTCAATCAATTGTACCACCAGTTGTCCTGCACCACAGAAACTGTGAAGTTACAACTCTCTCTCTCTCTCTCTTTATATATATATATAAACATAGTTAATGCACCATCAAAATTCCAAAAATGAGAAATGAGACTGAAAACTCAGGCCTAAAATGCACAGAATTAGTAAGGATCAAATTATACCTTATGAAACCTAAGTTATAACTATTTATAATCGATCAAATTTCATGATCATATAGATCTTTAAAACGTTATAATTTGATCTTAAAATATTATAATAATTTTTGGTACGATAACTTATTGGATATTGTAGCCATCCTCGAGGATTATATTGAATTCCAGTGAAGATTCCATCATGGATTGTATGATGGTGTTGGTGGCATCAAATTCATATGGTCCAATTACATGGCTGAAAGTGCTCACTCCCAAAAATTTGGGCCGACAATCCACCAGCATTTGCCACCAGAATGTTGCTATATATTGCAAGACCTACAATTACATGATAATAACTTGTTTTAAAGAGGTTTCTCAAGATTTGGAAACCTTTTGTCCGTGATAAGCTTCACTTGTTTTAAAGGGTAAAAGTGACAATTCAATTGTGTCGTGTCATATTCGAATTATGTTTATGTCGAATATGAATCAATTCTAGTCTTTTTTTTTTTATAATCAAGCATGCTAGATAGTTTGGTACTAATTTTACTTGTTAATAAATGTGTTACGAGGTGAGGACTAATGTAGTGATGAGAGTTCATATTAGCTAGTAGGTGATTACGGGTTCAAACCTCATCATCTCCCTTTCCTCCCAAAAAAATATTTGTGTCATGTTTACACTTGCAAAAGCCAAGTAAAAATTATCAAATTCTATAAGATTTATATAATACTAAATCAAGAAATAAAAAAAAATTTAAAAAAATCAGTTAAATAGATTTATCGTGTCAAAATTGAGTTATTTGTGTTTGACACTTGGTTGGACCATTAGTTATTTATCCTAACGCATTATTTTTTGGGATTAAAAATTAACCAACATAGTTGATTAATTTAATGGCAAATTCAGCAGGTATTAACAATTAGTTCAAATTTTGGCAATTTCTTTGGACAAAGTTATGAGAAATTTATCTCATGAATATTCTAATTCCGATGTGAATGGGCTGCTTTTAATCAAACCGAGAATGAGATTAGTCGAAATATACGTAAACTGGTCCGAACATCCGTGACCATTAAAAAAAAATTATCACCCATGTTAAAATGACATCCCAATCCAGAAATTGATGAGGATTTCTGCCATCGATGAGGATTTGATAGAATATGGAAATTTTCCCACTAACCCAACAAGAGCCTTAGAAAGTAATATAAGAAGTCAAGATCATCCCTAATTGAGGATACAACAAAGATTAAGACTATTATGCACAAGGACCCAACCGTAAAAGCAGCAAAGAAAGGTCAACATGATTAATGTGGGTGGCCCATAACTTTAGCCGACATTGCAAAAGAAGATAGAACAACACTGTAGAGGGTGACTAGATGTAAGTAGCAGGCTGTGAAACGCATTATCAATAGGGACCTAACTACGGTACGCCCAAAAAAATAAAGTGTATCCTACTT